ACTAACTTTCGGCACAGTCATCGCCGATGTGCCACCTGGCGTCTCCTTCTGCATCTCAAGCCTGGACTCAGATTGATCACATCGCGATCAGCTACCTCTGGCGTGGTTGTGTACAAGACTGCTGCTCCTTTTGGAGTACCTGTCTGGACTATGAGCATGCCCTGGTCTGCGCCAATCTTACCTTACTTTTCAGTAGCTAACGAAGTGACCGCCACCAAAGGATTGATGTCAGCAAGTTGGTTGCAACTTCTGTTGCTAGTAAGTACCGAACCGAGCTAGCTTCTAGGCTAGCTACCATTCCACCAAAAAGTATAGATGAGCATTGGTTGCAATTGCATGACGCCATGAAAATGGCGGGTACAGTCTGTTGTGGGTCCGCGAAACGTTGGGTTTCTTCTGGTTCCTTACAACTGATTGAAGCCCGTCGGTCCACTCCGGGTGACCGTGAGTTTGACCACAAACGAAGGATGTTAAGTAATAAAATTGAGCAGAGCTTGCGTAAGGATCGAGAAGCCTGGTGGTCGGAGCGTGCCAGTGAGTTGAAAGCAGCAGCTGCATCTGGTAATTACCGGAAGCTCTTCCAACTCATCCGAGCCACTGGCAGCAAGAAGTCTGGTGTGGGCGAAACAATCTGCGAGGATTACGGGATGCCGATCACTGACATCCACCGACGTCTTGGACGATAGGCAGAATTCTTCGGAGGGCAGTTCAACTGGCCTACTGCTCCGGCAACATCGGTCAGACTGTCCTGCCCTCCATGGCCGGTGACGACTGATCGACCAAATGAGGCGGAAGTCCGCAAGGAACTTTAACTCCTGAAGCGCTACGAAATACCGGGAGGTGGTGATCACTCACTTACGGAGTGAAACGATCTGCTAACCAATTTAGGTGGTAAGGAAAAGTTCTCCACAGAATTAAACGTATGCTACACAAATGCTCGCAGCCAACAAAATGAAATGACGGGGCTCAAGAAGATGGAGGACATAGGAAACTCTGATGTCGTTGCTGTCTCAGAAAGATGGTTAACGTCAGAAGTTTATGATAGTGATAATAATAATAATAAATTATTCTCAAATAACAGTTTGTTACATAAGGCATGCCAGTTTACAGGCAAGATCAAATTGTTACTAATGATACAATTTCCAACTGTAGTAAATTACTCAGCTGGGTCGATAATTCATAAGATATGAATGTAGAATGGTTTTAGTTAATATCACAGTTGGCGCGCTTCATGAAAGTTGCGTTGCAATGTGCAACTGAGGGTCGATAACAGTGCAGTTGAGGGCTTCTAGAAATCGCAATCTTATATCCCTTTGGAATATTTGGGGCTTTAAGGATGGTGCAGGACAAGGTCACCCGTTCCGTTTCTCAAGGGGGCTGAAAAATGGTGCAAGAAAAAAAAGAAAACAAAAAAGGACGAGAAGCAGGGCAGACAATGTTCATGAAGAAATAGTTAAGGTATGCCTACTCAGTCTGATTCTCATTTATTAAAGTATTTAGTGAGCAGGAGCATCGTAATAAGTTAAAGAAAATAAGTGTAAAAAAGGTATGGGTGGATAATCAACTGATAAATGGAGGTGGTTCAGAAAGAAGCTGAGAGTATGAGAATATGTAGTCATAAAATATAGTGCTAAAAACAGTGTTACCATACACAAATGGCTGTCTCCCTTTTTTGTCGACGCTACTGGAGCCTTTTTGAGATTTTATAGGGTCTTGAGTGGGCTTCGTTTTTTATCGAATTGTCTAGTTTGCTTGTAATAGGATTACTGGGTAGGAAGTGAAACCAATTTAACATTCTAAACACGATTGAATGGGGTATTTTGCATGATAAATCAGCATCAATACCATTAGTTCGTGACATTCCACTAGACCATAAAGAGCCGTAACTTAACAAAATGTTTTGCCCTACAGACATGGGTGGATTGAAGTTATCTCCCGCCATCATGTTTGCTGGTCAGTAACGCCACCCTCTCTCCTTTTGTGATGTTAGGCTCTCTTACGTTTGTGGTAAGTATGCATACTGCTTTAATCAAAGTACATGGTTGGAATACACTGTCTCTACTAGTTCCATGTTACAAGCAATTCAGATAGTTAAAGCGTTTGTATTATGGGTTAGATGTCCATTAAGTATATCACACTGCTATGAAGATAACTAATGGTGACAGAAAAAAAAGGTTAGATTATATGTGGTTTAAAGATAGTAGGACTAATAGCAAATCAAATGATATGAAAGAGTATAAAATTGTGAAATTTTTAGGGTAAGAAAAATAGACCACAGAGCAACTCACAAGATTTTATGATCAATTTTGAGCTTCGTATGATCGGCCTTAGTAGATCAGCATCCACAAGATTGCTGAGTTATCTGTCTACTTGCAATAGAAAAAGAAAAAGACATGGGTTTTAGGAAGAATAATGTATATTTAACCAGTGTAGATATTTGGGAACTGAAAGTGAGGGTTAGGAGCATTAGGCCTTCATCAATGGACAATGAATAATAGGATCCGGCAAACCATATGTCCAGTGGATCGATTTTTTACACAGTAAAGTTGATAAACTGAACCATAGAGGTGGTGGGTGTAACGACCGAGTTGCCGATATTCGCTTCCAACACAGAACTAACGAACCAAAATTTATTCGATTGGACCAGACTACATTCTTCTGTATAGGGTACGGAGCGTTCTTAAGTTACTCGTATTAAATTATATACAAACGCAAATTCTGCTCAGTCTAAACTGTTCTAATTTGAGAAATAGAACAAATTCTATCAAAAATACAAGATACCTCAAACGGTACAGCCTGTGCTATACAGTCAAAAGTTTCTCTAACACAAATTAGCGTGCCGAACAACAAAGTAAACGTTTAATACAAATGAGTTCAATACCTGAGAATCAACAAAAAATATTCCCAACAAGATGGGACCAGATGTCTATCTGCAGGTATTCCAGCAATCTTCCCAAGAAGACAGTCAAAGGTTAACAAACACGCACTGAATAAAGCCGTAACCTTGAGCTTAGTCAAAAACGACCTTATTGTCAATAGTCCGGCAACATGCAATGGAAAATTACGTAACAAAATATAAGTCTTTAATCAAAATCACATAATAAAAGCTCAGTCCAGGAAGACTGCAGAACCCAAAGTGCGGTCAAAGAGATCTGAACAAAGGTTAAAATACACGACAGGGAGAAGAAACAAACAAATGACAGTACTGTCCAACAAAAGTGCCGTGGAGGGATTTTCAGCGTTCCCTTTGCGTCACAGTTGGGTTATCCTGTACATCAAAAACACCTTGAACTACGAACACTCGAGACAGTGGCATACGACTCAGGGGCATGTGAACGGGTGCTCTGCCTCCCGAAATGTAAACGCCAAGACATTGAATTAGCTGTGGTATACCGCAGTCCAGAATGTGTAGGGAATGATGTACTCCTGAGTAAACTTACGTTTTGGTCAAACAGGTGCGTAAGTCTCATAGTATGCCAAACAGCCCTGCCAACCCGTCCCAGCAGCATCTGCTGAAAACTGAAAAAATTGACTCAGGAGCATCAGTAGAAGAGGCATGAACTCATTTAAGGCAGTTATACAGTCGACTAACTCAACCATACATACCCTGAGCAGTCACTCCAATACATAAACCAGTATCAAGACAATTTCTATCAAACTACGGACCTGTCAATCTCAACAGCGTCGTAGTTAAAATACTGGAATGTGTAGTCAAAACGACTATAATGGCATTCATTGAAATCAAAAAAATTGTCCAACAAGGAACAACATGGACTCAGAAAGTGTTTATCTTGCGCAACGAACATTTTTATAGCAAGGGAATATCAGACAAATGAGCTAGACAACGTAAACTCAGTGGATGTTGTCTACATAGACTTCAGTAAGGCATTCGAAAAGGTGCCAACAAACAGACTGCTATTGAAATTAGAAAAGTTTGGTATTGCTGGACCACTTTTGAAATGACTTAAGGATTTCCTAGTAGGTCGTAGACAGAAAGTAGGAATAAATTCCAAGTGCTCCACGTGGAGACCAGTACTTAGTGGAGTATCTCAAGGTTCCGTCCTAGGTCATTTACTTTCTATACTGTGTGTAAATGATCTTCCAATTACAATTGAGTCTCGAATGTTGTTATACTCTGACGATGTACAAGTCTGGCGAGAAATAATGGGAGACGCAGATGCATGCAAACTACAGGCAGGCTTAAATATTGTGACTAACTGGTCTAAGGAATGACTGATGCCTATCACCGTGGCAAAGTGTGTCTAAATGAACTTTGGGGATACAAGCGTAACTGGGTACAACGTAGGAGAAATGTCTGTACCCGTGGTCTGGTCTCATAAGGATCTAGTGATGACAGGGAGTCATGATCTTAAGACAACGGCCTATTGTCGAGAGGCGTCAACTAAAGGGTCTAGAACCCGTTGGGCTTTAGAACAGACATTCACCAAGTTGAATACTGCCATGTTCACTACAGTATACGCACCCTTGATGAGAACTAAGCCACCATTGCAATTCCAGAATTCTGTGGTTTATCATACCAAGATCGGCTTGAAAACCTAGACCTGTACTCGGTCCTATCGCAGATTAAGCGGTAATCAGATTTTGATGTAAAGAACACTAATAGATAATTTTGGACGTTATACATCCTATCTCTTGCCTAACACCAGATCGCGGCATCTCGAAGGACATAGCAGACGAGTAGAAAAGCCTATGACGAACAAAATACCGGCGGCATACAGGTTTTCACACAGAGTCATCAATGATTAGAACCTTTTAACCGAAGCAGTGGTCTCTACACCGTCAAATGACTCACTCAAGAGAAAACCAGACACTCGGAGAAGCATATCAGAAAAGGAATAACATAGGCCGTAAGTCTTCTGTCCTTACCACACAAATATGAATCTGAGTATTTCACAAGATATTGTTTGTTGAGTGAAGAATTTTGCGTATCAGAAGAAGTAATAACACATTGATCTTCTTTTCAGACACTTAATGTTTCGTTATAATACGTCATATTTTTGTTACTTTGATTGATCAACAACATTGCTGATTTTGAATGGAATGCGGAAATGCTTATTTGTTATGTTTTGGTGTGGATTATAAATTTATGTAAGCTTTTTTGTATATATGAATACGATCCTATCAGCTGATTGCTAAAAGACTTACTTGTTTGATACCGTATGTCACTTTGTCCTTGGTTTTTATATGACGGTCAAAACTTAATATATTCAGCGTTTTTTCCTCGTGGAACTCACTTTACTTATTTTTCGAGATTTAGCCTCTTTCGGTTTAAGATTGACAAAGGTATAGTGGATTCTGTAACAAATTAAGATATTCTAAAAAAACCTGACCTAAATTATAGATTTTACTGTTTATGGCCTACATCTTTATATATATATATATATATATATATATATATATATATATATGCGAGTTCAAATAGTACACATGTACTTCAAATATGATTTTGTGTCTCATTCATTCTGTTCAAGAATTCTGCTCTTTTGTAAATGGCTTAGACTAACTGCAAGCTGCTTTGCGGATCACTGATGTGTTATTTTATTTAAGTTAAATCTACCAGCTATCTTACTCTTAACATCATGCTATGGTTCGCAGTAAATGTTTCTGGGTCTTGAATTCAAATAAAATCTGAGCCAACAAAAATTCAAGAACTGTTTATCACTTAATTAAGGTTTGTTCCACATAATGCAGTAAGACAACACATATTTTGATGTGATTATTAACTATTTTTCGAAGAATGTGGTTTGTTTATTATATTTTATGGTTAATTGCATCATATCAAGACCTGATTTCCTAGCCATCAAGAAATGTTAGTATAAACTAAGGATACATGGTCATTTTGGGATGGAAGAAAATTCTTGTGAGATGAATATATGTTCCTCAAAGTGACAAATTTTAGTGACTTGAAAGTTTCGTGTGGTTTGATACGATAGGTGTAAGGGATGAATTAGGACCTCTCTGATAGTTCGAGTAACTACACTTCTGCAGTAGACAGAACCAGATAATTAATATTTATATGCAAATATTTGATTTTGTATTTTGTTACCGTAGTACTTTAACCTAGTTTCTGAAATCTAATAATTTTTATGACATTAAAGTTCATTTTCAAAGAAGTTGATAAGACACCCTATTATCTTAGAGTTTGATCAGGGTTCTTATATGGTAACACTTTAATTTCCATATGACTAAAATAAGATTTCATCTGATGCAGTTATAAACGTTTGTAGAATTATTTGTCTTATGAGCGATATTTTTACTCCGTATAGTCGTTTTGCCTGTGATGAAAAGTCTCGACCAGAGTAATTGTTTTACTGTATGCAGCCGTGCTGAGGAGTTGAAGAGTGATGTTTTAATTGATCCAATTGTATTCCAGAAGCTTTTCACTAAAGATTCTTTGGATGACACTTAGGTCATATATTTTTTTCAGCAACCAAATCTCCAAGCACAGGTAACTTACGAAAGGTTAAGCGTTCGCGTGTGAGACCGAAGATCCTGGCTTTGAGTCCCTCATGCGTGATCTTTGATGCTCAATGTTTGAGGAGTTCCATACTAGGAAAAAATGGCCATGCAGTGGTTTCGTATTTTCAGTGGTAGTCTATCTTAGATCAACTCGTAAATTCAACTGTGAAAATACTACAATCTTCTCAAATTCCAATACTGATAAAACTTTCTGAAAATATCGTTTGTCTTTTATTAACTGTTATATTTGGTCTAATAGCTTTTAGTCCAAAGACGTCTAATTAAAATTATTAGGGCGATGTAAACCAGAATAAATGTAGAACTTTCAAGGTTCGGTTTGCATTGTTGTTGTTTCTCATCAACAATGTGCCATTTAGAAGGATTCAGTTTGATGTAACTTGTTTTTCCCATAAAGATAAAAATGTGCATTGTCATCTTACCATTCGTTTTGTCATTTTTAACTAAAGCTTATCACCAGTATCCAATTGCTACTTTCATACTTTAGAAAGTTTATACGCTGGAATATACCATTTTGTTAAGTTAGTGATTCTGTTTAGTCATTTTTAACATATTGAGTTGAACAAGGTTTTTTTGTTTCATTGATTATCACCAGTTACCTTTGTATAAATGAGTTACTATTTGGTTAACTTTGGTTTTTAGCAAATGAAACAGCTTAGTAGAATAGATATGTAACGAAGTGAAACTTTGCTTATTGGTTACTTACAAGCAAGCGTAATATAAAGATGAAGTTATGATCATAGTGCAGAACGATTTTACAATTTGACATATCAGAATAGTTGTAGTACCATTTTTCAGTATCAACATACTTAATTTTTTGTCTCTCACCACTGATAATAAATTAATTAACTCATCAAGTACGCATTCTATTGCATCGGCTTTATGTTACATCGTTTGTTTGCAGGCTTGTAATAATAGCCCTCCATCCTAATCGAGGCAGTTGGAACATAGGTGAAATATATGGCCCAATGTTTTAAATTCTAAGTCCTTAAACCACTAAGTTATTACTGCATTACTAGTTTGGATGAACTTCTGGTTATCGCTTTTACCTAGTAATCGAACATACGATAACATAAGACCATCTTTGATCTTAATGGTATGACACTAGTGTAATCAAAATTGTTTTTGAGAACTAGATATTTGACTTGTTTCATTGTACTATTTAAACTTGTGTTAATTGGAAGAAAGACTGTCTATTTTCTGAAAGAAATAGTTTGTTATCAGTTAAAAAAAACTTGAAAAAGTTAGTTTCACACTTTTCGGAAAATTATAGATTTATTATTATTATATGCCTGTTATAATAAACTCTTACATTAAATGCTGTAAGTTCTGCCTTTATTAAATTTATAGTTGTTTTTATGTCTTTTTTAGGTGTTGTTTCGTCATTATCTTGTTATCAGTGCAACTCATCACATCATTCTAATTGCTTAGAACACTTAACTGATCTAGGTAAACATTCACTTCAACCAACTCCTTGTACAACTTATGGAGCACGATTTTGTATTAAAACTACTGGAATCTACGGAGGTAATATAAATTATTATTTGAATATCCATAAGTGAGAGAATAGTTTTCACTTTTGACCACTGGTTGAGCAATTCTCACTGGTACACACTTTAGTTCATATGTCATATCAAAGAAATGTCAAGTGATCTCGATTGTAACATGTTACTACCCAAATACTGAATAAAAATTCGGTCATGTAGTAGATTTACTGTATATTATCGTGCTGAATATGTGCTTTCATTCCCGACTAAGATAATCACCGGGTTTTCTTTGACTAAAATCGACCTTCATTCGAAGTTGTTATCATATTCATCTGCAGGTCACTTATCATTTATTTTACGACTTAAATAATTAATTTATCTTATCCAAATAATTGAATACTTTATGGATTCAATGCATCAAGGTAATAAGTAGAGCACAAAATATGTATATCCAGCATATATAGGATGAAAATTGTAAATAGATTGTATATACATTGTAAAATATTTGTTTACAAGTAAGTACAACTAGTTTATTCAGAAAGCGTTGAATGATCTGAACAAAATAAACCAAATTACCCATTGAACAACTAGCAGATATATTCAGTGTCTACAATTCAGGATGTTACATAAGATCAACCATAAATCATACTAGCATGAGATACACTGATAAACCTTAAAGCTCTCATATACAGGTTGGTAGAGTAGTACGCTATTGTTCAATCGTTTATCAGTTTTGGGGAGAGTAGTAACTAATCGCATCTAATAATACAATCACTTCGTCGTAAAATACAGGAAAAAAGTGGTAAGAATGAGTGCTAAGTTCATTTCTCAGAAAAAGGAAAATAGTTAACGGCTGAATTATATTCCTTGAGTAATACATAATTTTCTTCTCAACCAGTCAGTCAGTCAGTCAGTCGGTCATTTACAACGTAGAACGATGTACATATATGTATCGGTCCAAGTTGCCATATCTCATTAGCACAACAAGATGAGCACTGAATTCATAGAAGTAGTCACTTCAATGGTAGTAATGTATAAAAGAAAGCCTGTGTACAAGGATATAGTACATGAAGAAAGAATTAGTTAGTTGATAGAAGGAAAGATATAAAGTAAATTTAATCCCACAGTTAAAAGGAGACGCTGATAAAATGCAGTCTTTTGATAACACTGAGCAACAATGCCAGAATGTTTGGAATGCGCTTCTCTCCCTCTAAATGCAAGTTGTTGCTTCAGGAGTGGTCTGCGTCAACACCGGAATTAAGGATAGGGAGTGAGTAGTCGAACGCATTGACAACTTCACTTGTCTTAGAAGTATGATCACCCTTAGGTACATTGGTGTGTGATGAAATCTCAGCACGGATTCGAAAATCTCCTTTGGCTTTTACCAACTTACGTCACCTATGGTGAAGGCGAGATATCTGTCTATCAATTAAGGGACGAGTATAGTGCATAACAGTTCGTTCTGTTCTAGTTTATGGCTGCGAAACATCTCCATTAAGAGTTAAAGATATTCATAAGCTACTAGTATTTCACCACAGATGTTTTAGAAATATTGCGGGTATGTGCTGGGATCACCGCGTGAGTAAGAGTGAGGTTAAAATCAGGGTATTAGGGAATGATGATAAATCCGTTGATGAGGTTGTGAATCTTCATCGACTGAGATGGTTGGACTGTGTGTTACGTAGGCCTGAACACCGATTACCACGACACGTAATGCTGACCAGTGTTGGGGATGGTTGACAGAAACTTAGGGGCATCCAAACCAAAACGTGGCATCAGTTCATAAAGTCACTAACGTCTGGTCTGAGTCATGTTGGTAGATGCAGACTACTTGATTGGGGTCCACACAACTATTGTAACCAATAGTTGGAGACTATGTGTGACATGGCTCAGAATCGATCACAATGGCGTATGTGTATACACTCTCTATCTTCCCTTAAACTAAGAGATTAAAATCGCTTCATATTCTTTCTCTCTGTACTATATCCTTATACACAGTCCTTCTTTTATACATTACTACCATTAAAGTAACTAGTTCTATGAATTTGGTGTTCATCTTGTTGTGCTAATGAGATATGGCAACTTGGATCGATGATATATATATACATATATATGTGCCTGGTCCCCTACGTTGTAACTGACTGACTGAATTAGTACCCCAAGAAATTTTGTTAACCAATTACATAAATCTACACTTAATCATTGAACTGATATTTTATTTTATTTTATTTTTTTTTAAAGCTGTCATGGGTATAACACGTTTTTGTAGCGCATGGGATATGGGTAATGAATGTCAATTTTTAGATTTTCCTGATCATGATAGAATATATCGTGCATGTGTTATGACTTGTTCTAAAGATGCATGTAATTTAAGTAGACGAAATATTCTGTCATTATATTTCATGATTACAATTATGTACATAGTTATATATATTTCTATTTTATAATAAACATTTGAAAATACCTTTTTTTTCTTTTCTTTTCTCTGTTTTCCTTTTTTGTTTCTTTTTTTTTCTTTGAATTTTTCTATTTTAATACAAGTTGTTAAGATGTTAGTTTATGAATTCATATCACTTTTATATTCTTTAGATGAAAGAAAACAAAAAAAAAAAAACAACGTGTAAATGTCTTCAATTATGATGAATGTAAAATAATATAACTTCTGTAGTATCTTAACCCCCTTTTATTGTTTGAAACATAATGAATGATGTAAGAAATTCACAATTGAAAAGAGAAAAGTTATCAATTTAATATAAGAAAAGGGGTTTTTTGTATGAATATTATAGTAATTTTAGTAGATGAGATTATGAGTTGATTGAAGCTAGATCATTATGAATAACCTGGAAGCACTAGACGATTGTTTTGTTCTATTGTGAGATTCATCAACAGTACACATCCACAGTCCTGCTTTGCGAGATTTCAACCTCTAGACAACTGAGCTGATTGACATCCAACGATGTTAATGTTTAACTTAAACTAAACCACAAAATTAAGCTATACATCCATCATTGTCATTAATGAGTTACTATCTCACAATAGACCCAGTTGAAGTCCATTGTTCATTGTCTCTCACTAGAACTCTAAGAAATGCCTCTTGAAGCCAGTCATTAGTGACCATATTTTCATTAATATCAGAAGGGGTTTTGTGGAGATTTTAGTAATTTAATAGTTAAGATCATGAGTTAATTAAAGCTAGACAACCATGGAAAACCTGAAAGTACTAGACGACAGTTCCGATTAAGTATGGGACTCCTCAGCAGTACGCATCCATAGACCACGCCTCGCTAGATTTGAACTGATTTATCAATTTATTTTATCTGAATGTTATGGATAAGACACCATTATTTTCATTGTTAATGATGTTTCTTAGAATCAAGCATCAGTTTTAGAGAACAGATAAAAATGGTAGGATATTGATCTGATATCACTCTCTTTAGTAGACGTTGAGTACATCAAGTGAACTATACGTTAAATTAAATTCACTTGGTGTTGTTTACTTGTATCTTCCCATTGTTATTTTGAAACTGAAATTGACTAGTCTGTTATTGGCATATGTGCATCCTCAGGTCACAAGGTTTATCAGCAATATCGAAGCAGCCCACACAGCATTCACGTTTGCTAATAAGAGGCTGATCAATTACATTCCTAAACATCAATGGGAAGATTCAAGTAAATAATATCAAATGAATTTAAACTTCATCTCATCGCACAAGCAAGTGGCTATTAGGATTCAGTAGCTAAGTGAATAACGCAATGACATTTGAAGCGGCTGGTACTGAGTTCGAGTCCCGGAGTGAACATCAACTCTGAGATGCAGGCACATCCAGCTGACGAATCCCGAAATGGGACGAAACGCGTGTCAAACTAAATTCCACCGCTAGCCACTATTCATCTTTGTTTAGAATGCTTGTGAATTCAGGCTATATCTAGGCAATACTCACACTATGCACACAGGCCAATAATAAGAGACTAATCAATTCCAGTCCTAAATAACAATGGGAAGATTCAAGTCAAACAATGCCAAGTGAATCTATACTGTTATGATTTCAAATTGATTCTTCAAATGTCGACAAACCAAGAGATCTATCATTATCAGAAAAGTTTTGACTTCATAAAATTTACTAATTATAAAAGTAACAGCTTCTTTTTGGAAACTATGCACTGACGTATGCTTACTTACTTACTTACGCCTGTTACTCCTCGCAAAGGAGCATAGGCCGCTCACCAGCATTCTCCATCCAACCCTGTCCTGGGCAATCCTTTCAAGCTCTTTCCAGTTCTTATTCATCCTTTTCATATCTGCTTCTATTTCCCGACGTAATGTGTTCTTTGGCCTTCCTCTTTTCCGCTTCCCTTCAGGATTCCAAGTTAGCGCTTGCTTCGTAATGCAGTTTGATGATTTCCTCAATGTATGTCCTATCCATTTCCATCGTCTTTTCCTAAGTTCCTCTTCAGCTGGAAGTTGGTTGGTTCTCTACCACAGAAGACTGTTTCTGATGGTGTCCGGCCAATGGATGTTGAGTATCATGCGTAGACAGCTGTTGATAAATACCTGTACCTTCTTGATGGTGGTTGTTGTAGTTCTCCAAGTTTCAGCTCCGTACAGTAGAACTGCCTTGACATTGGTATTGAAGATTCTGACTTTGATATTGGTTGGAAGTTGTTTTGAGTTCCATATGTTTTTCAATTGAAGGAATGCCGCTCTAGCTTTGCCAATCCTCGCCTTGACGTCTGCATCTGAATCTCCTTGTTTATCGACGATGCTTCCCAGGTATGTGAAGGATTCCACGTCTTCCAGAGTTTCGCCATCAAGAGTGATTGGATTGCTGTTCTCCGTGTTGTGTTTGAGGACCTTGGTTTTCCCTTTGTGTATGTTGAGGCCTACTGATGCAGAGACTGCTGCTATACTGGCTGTCTTTATCTGACGTATGACTTCTTTTATTTACATTTTCATTCGACTTATTTATCAACAGAAGTAAATGAAATCGTAGGGCAAAAGTTTGTCTTCATCACTTAAATTGATAACCAATATATATATATATATATATATATATATATATATATATATATATATATATATATATATATATATATTGAAAGTTTAGATGTTTGTTAAACACATAAAGCTAACCAGTAAATGAGGTCATTCAGTAGAAGATTAATCAGTGGGGAATTAATTGACGTTTGTAGGGTAATTCTAAGAACCTTTAAATATTACTTGTGGGTTTATTTTTTTTCAAACGATCAATATTTGCTTACAGTAGGAAATCGTCAGTAAGTTATGGCATACTCCAATACCTTTACCTTTTATATACATTTAACTGGTGGATAATCGTAATAAAAGTAGGTTGAAAGCTTTTAAATAGTAATAAACCGCCATTTTTGTTTATTCATAATTATTTTTACAATCAGTCTTATCACCATGACATCACTGTCACCAAATATAATTGGTATCTAAATTCAATAGTAATTGCCCCTTGTCTCTCAAAGCAGTAAAGTAAGAGGGAAATAATATGAACCATTATGATAGTTATTCTTAAGTTTATCAACAATTCGATTTACTATATATACATTGTTGATCTTTGATGAAAGTGCGTAATTACACACTGGTAAAAGATATGAATAGTTATTTAAAACAAATGTAAAACGAGAATATCTACGTGTTACAAAAAAATCCATGTTTATAATAATAGTGTAGTGTGTGCTACTGATATTGACAGATATAAGTAGTATGTATCACCAATGGAAAGTGGAATGCTTGGATGTAGAAGGTTGAGAAGATTCAATAAAAGAGAACGACAACAAACAGGAATTGTTATGGAAATAAAGGAACAATGAAGTCTGAACCAATTGATTGATATTGAAAATGCCATAGGTATTCGGAGTTTGACAACGCTTTAACCAGTAACACCTTCTAATATTAAACGTACCCACCGAGTGAAATCAAAAGGCAGAAGTGAGGAGGTTCGAAGATATATTTGATAAGCTATCAATATATCAAGGATCGTTTGAACTAATCTGGCTAGCGATTGTGACAGATGTTGAGCACGGCGTTCCCACACGTGATCTAGTGAGGATGCTTGACCGAGCGCCTTCAGCTAGATGAGTCCACTAAAACTGTTGTCAGCGTCCAACGTCGAAAACTTACAAAGCTATTTATTTTGGGGAATTATTTACCGCTACAATATTTTTACTACATGATTCTCAGATTTTACTAAGTGATTTTGTAATTATGTGTTTTCGTTTATTACAGTAGTATCTCAGAAGCCTGGATAGACTGCCTTGTGGCATTTGCATCTGAGAGTCCTTCAGAAACATAAGCAGTGATGATGATGATAATAATAATGAAAGCTGAAAGAACGGGACACCAAACACTCTGCTAACTACATTCAGCACTCTCTGTAATACAATAAAGTCTTTCCTCAAAATTCCAGAAGAACAGTAAAGAATACTAGGTAATATGTAGGAATTGACAAATGTTAAGAGTAAATGTTGAGTAATCCTAAAAGGATGTTGCCTCTCTTTATGTAGTAAGTCAGACGGAAAACTTATTTTTTTTTCAATAACAGTAAAACATGAGAAGTTGAAAGATCAGTGTAAAAAGTAACACCAACATAATTAACCTTCGACATTGTGTTTATCAAAGAATCTCCAATGGTACAAATATTATGGGATCCCAACTTGGTGTTTAGATTCTGTTTCTGTCTCAGGCTGAAGTTAATAACTTGACATTTAAACGGATTAAGTATGAGACTATTAACAACAGACCACTATATAATACGAGATAGAAACTCTAAACGGTAATCGAAAATATGCTTATTAATAATAATAGCTTATGAAGAATATCGTAAAGATGGAACAAAAAAAACTCAACTAATTCATATCTAGAGGTCCTAGGCTCGAATCCCGCAGGATGGGATCGTGAATGCACATCGTT